CGAGGAATAATTTTGCAAATGAGCAAAAGACCAGGAAGAAAATATAATGCCAGAGTTAATAAGATGTGGTTTCAATGATGATATTATGGCGTGGCTGCAAAGAGTTTTAAATAATTCATTTTTAATTAATAAAAACAACTGCTTCCTTTTTCTACTAGTCAGGGTACGATTTAGAATAAAAAACTTTTAATGTACTTTCGACCAGTTCTTGGGATTAGGTAAAAACTTGTTGGCGAAAAAAGAGTTCTGTAAAAGTTAGATCGAAATTGAATCGTATATAGGCCTGAGACGCTCTAGCGATTTTGAAGGAAACTCCTGAAAACCAGGAGATTATTGGAGTATCTACAGAACAAAGACAGATAACAAATTAGACGCTAACGGTAGATAGGAGTGAGATTATATCCCTTAATTTGGCGGTTAATTGGTATCTGATTTCTAATTATCCCATTTCGCAGTTTGTCCCATTCTGTTTTCTCTACAATCTTACGTGAAATACCTCTGATATAACACGATATTTTCTGCATTGAGTAACGATCTAGTCCTAACCTGGAAACTTCTTCGGTGGAATTCTATCGTCACGTTCCTTTTTTCCACATTGTAAATACTCGCATATTTCAATACCTCATTAGAAGACACAATAAAGGATTCGAATTAGAAAACCGTTTGCTGTAACGAAGTAACTCATTCATTTTATTGGAGATTCGAACAAAATGAATAGAAAATGGAACATTTTTCAATCATAATCAATTCTAAAAATGTTCGAGGAAACAGTGAATTGAAGAAACATAAATCTTAAATATATTTAATAGATACTAATAGTCCAATTAAATAACGAAAAAAAGCCCCTTCGAGCTTACATTAATTTGTAATTGGATGAAACAAAAAGGACCTTGTGTATTTTGATGTGATCTTTCCGAAAAAAAGAAAAAAAAGATGTAGCAGTTTTTCAATTTTTTTTAAATTAGGAAAAACCGGGTTTTCCGGAATTTTCCATTGTAAAAATGCTAATTATCTGGGCAAGTATCATTCCGATAGTGAAAATAAATGCATCATTCGAAAGAGGAAGCAAAAATAGTTCGGAAATTCATTGCACAGGTAGTTTTAATGGCGAATTTCTCGCCGCCAGAAGTGCTTTTACCAAAAAGTCGTTTTTTCGTTTTTTTTATCAGAACCATGGACATGAAATTTGCGATGAATTTGTGGCGAAATTATAAATGTTAGACGTATGTGCCCATGAGAGAAGTTGCGTATTTTGTTGTTGGCTCTCAAATAAAATAAGTCCCGCGGCGAAATCTGACATAATTTTTCGGGAATTCGCAGGAAACCAGAGGCATAGTTTTTTTTAATTTTTTTCCCATGTGATTTTTTCCGGGTTTTCCGAAAACATCTAACAAAATAAATATATTTGAAAAAACTAACTTCGCCATCGAAAAGAGCACAAAAAAATACACAAAAAGGTATACTTTAAAAATGTTAGGAAATTAATCCTAAGCCTGAGTGTAAGTTCCAACTTGGTGATAAGCTTGCTTTTTGTTCGCTAATATCTGGTAATTCTATATTTTGCACAAAACTCAAGAAACGTCTTATAACAAGTCAGTAAAATACAATTTAATAAATTTTATGCCTAATAAATTTAGATATGCAAGAAATTTAAAACTGGACATCGCAAAAAAATCAAATTACAGTAATGTAGTGTATACACGAGTTTTGGATCCCGCGGAGCGCGTGTAATGGGACTTTTGTCGGGAGAATTCTACAACTTAGAAGAAACATACAAATTTTTTTTTTTTTTTTTTTTTTAAATATTTAATTGTTTGATATCTTAGCCAATTATGGTCCGATGTCGGTGAAATTCACACACACATAAGATTGTACATTTAAGAGTAAGTTTTGTAAGTGGCATTAAAAAAATTCAAATAGTTTGGCCGTTATAGGCAAACAATGAAATTAGGACCGCGGTGCATTTTGCCCTTCCGCCATTTGCCCAATTTTGGGATTTCTCTTGCCCCCTTCTGGGAATCACTAGTCACATCCCTTAAGTTCAAAACGCATTTTTGTTTTTTTAAATACCTTAATTTTTACCAATGTTATAGAGAATTTAGTGTTTGAACATTTAACAAATTCAATTTTTCGACCTTCGTCGCCTCAAAATACTAAACAAATTTCAATCGTCCATACCGCGAGAACGGTGCATCGGATCAAAATTTCTCAAGAGACATAAAAATTAGCATTTTTCCTAAGCTTTCAAATGTCGTAAACTGCGTTTTAAAAATATTGATTTATTTCCGACATGCGCCTGCGCAAAATTGAAAAATTGACAAAATCCAAATTCGGCACTTTCGAAAAACTGCTACATTTTGTTTTGCATTTTTTTGAAAAGATCACCTCAAAATACATAGAATCCATTTTGTTTCATCTAATTACAATTTAATGTAAGCTCAAAACCCGTAATTTAATTCGATTATAATAATAATAATGGATATTTGTTAATATTCAATAAAAAATTTAATATTTTACTCAACTATTATAATAAATATGTAATCATGGCGGCTCGTGATAATTTAAAAAGGGTGTTCACTTTTTCCAATAATTTTATCGTTTGTTAGTTCGATTCAAAACTTTATACAAGCGCCAATATCGCTGTTTTTTTTATTTGGGTTTGTATTAAGTGTAGTTATTATTATCAATATCATACTGTTTGCAAGCACTACAACTATTAATGAATATTTTAGTTATTGTAGTATTTGTTTGTGTTTTCATTTATAAATATTACTAGTTATAGTTAGCTGACTTTTCTTCATATTTTGATATATAGGTGGTCATTTTTATATTTTATGGAATATATCTGTTATTTACGTTTGGAGAAGAAAATTCTTCAAATAAAAGTTACTTCTAATATCTATAATTTTTGTTTTATACACAATTTTCCTAAAATGGCCCGTATTCGAGAAATTTGACAAAATGTAAAAAAAATATTTTTTTATAAAAATTGTTTAAATAAAAGTTGTTTGTAATATAATTCTCTATAATTTTTATTTTATACATAATTTCTCTACAATGGACCGTATTCGAGATATTTGAGAAAATGTGTAAATTTCGAATTTTGAAGAAAACTCAAAAACGGATAAAGAAAAAAACATTAAATTTTAAACTTAAGGTTTATTTCAGCCTGACGTGAAATGATTAGATTTTGGACAAAGTCGGAACATCTAGGGGGGTACTTTATGGGAGGCCGTTTTTATATTTTATGGAATATATCTGTTATTTATGTTTGGAGAAGAAAATTGTTCAAATAAAAGTTACTTCTAATATTATTATCTATAATTTTTGTTTTATGTCAAAATTTTCTGAAATGGTCCGTATTCGAGAAATTTGACAAAATGTGCAAAATTCGGATTTTTATGAAAATTGTTGAACTTAAAGTTGTTTGCGATATCGATCTCTATAATTTTTGTTTATACATGATTTTTCTAAAATGGACCGTAATGGAAAAGTGCTAAATTTAAATTTTTCAGTATGTTCGTTTTCAATGAATATCTATAGAAAAATGTTTCGAGGTAGACGTATGTGGACAATGTATATATCTAGTTTATTCTCTAAACATTTATAGAGATGCTGCAATAGGTTGTACAAAATAACCGGAAAAAGCCTATAATAACTAGATAGGAAAGTCATGTGTTGGACACATCAGATTTTTTCTACTGAAATACTGAAACCCATATCGTCGAACCACTTACTAAGTAAAGGAAAAAACCATTTTAGATCATTAACGCATTGTTCATATGAATTGTGGGTGAAATAAAAACACAAATCGTCTGCGTATTGAATAATGTTAGCTCGCCCATTACCTAATGTATGCAGATTAGCGGTATAGATATTAAAAAGCAGGGGGCTTAAAATGGACCCTTGAGGTAAACCGTTGACTACAGTACGAGGACCATGTAACACGTTTCTATGATCACGAATAAAAATTTTTCGATTCGTAAATAAATTTATTATATTAACTGATACTTTTTTACTAATTCCAATCTCTGTCATTTTTTCGAATAAAATTTACTACGTCATCACAAGCCCCAGTCAGGTCAACAAAAAGACACAACATATACTGATTTTTACATTTAAAAAAAAAAATTTGGGCACGTTTTCGCGAACTATTGCAGATTTGCAATGCTACCTATGACATTCGAAATATAACCGAAAACTACGCATTCTTTGTGCTTAGAAAATTGTTCGCAAAACGAGTGGTTTTCTCTTAAATCCAACATTTTCCCTTTTTTTCGAGAAAAAACAAGCACACTGTCGATTTTTTCCGTAATTTGGGCACTTTACAGACTGAAAATATATAAGAATCAGTAAGTTTAATGAGAAACAAGCTTACTTTCTCTCCCAATTGCCAGAAAACGCCCCTTTTCTCGAGAAAATTCGAGTAGCTTCAATTCTCGCGAGAATTATCGATCTTTGCACACGTACGCTCAGAGAACAGTAGATGCTAGAAAAAATGTATATGCCACAGTTTTTCTTGTCTTTTTTTCTCTTTCATCTGATGGAAACAGTTTTCTATTCAGATAATTAGTTTTCGAGTTATTTAAGAAAAAAGTACGAGAAATCAAGAAAAAATTGTTTTGCAATTTTTTCAAAAAATATTGCAGATTTCGCCACCCGGAACGTCTCATTCGGAACGTAACTAGAAAATACGTATTTTTGTGGCCCAATCCACATTTTTTTTTGAAATTGAGTTAATAACAAAAATGCAACACAAATAACTCATATTTTCTTTACGCAATACCGGCCCAAGCCTATTTCGACTTTTCATCACAAGATGGCACATAAATTAACTTTTGCGCACCCATCTGGTTCTTATTTGCTTAAGCAAGACTGGCCCAACCCACTTCTAGATTGTAGGCCGCTTTTGCATTCAGTGGTGACGCATATTTGACCGCGTGTTTGTTGTTATTGTGCTAGCATACCTTTTATTTGTAACAGTAAAGTGTATGTAAAAAATGCAAAGAAGTATGTCTGGTAGTGATGAAAGTGGCTTTGGTAAGTAAATTATGATTGCTTGTAAAGTAGTAAGTAATAAAAGTTTTATTGCAAAAAAAACCGTATTTAAAGGTTATGTTAAATACAGTGTTTCAGTGTTCTGGGTTTGGGCCACTTTTGCACTTAAATTATTTGTTTGTTACAGATATGGAAGAGCCTTTTCAGGACTCAGGTTCTGAGTTTGTTCCTTCTGGTAACTGCAGTGAAGCTGGTAATCTCTCTGGTTAGTTTGTTTTCTTAGTTCCTTATTATGTTTGTCTCTATTGATTTTTTGGTTTATATTGCAGACATAGAAGGCACTTCCAGCGAGCCAGTTATTAGTAAGGGAGCAAAAAGAAAGAGAAATGAAGGACAGTGGAAGAGAAATATTAGAAAAAGAAAACGTGGTTCTGGCGAAGAATACGTTAACACCAGGGGGAGGGTGATTCCTTCTAAGAGTTTTGAAGCCAAAGATTGCCCGTGTTCAAAGAAGTGTCATGAATTTTTTTCGCAGGAGTGGCGTGAGGCTGTTTAAAATTTTTTATAGATTAGGATCTCATACTTTGCAAAGTTCTTATATTTTTGGACATGTCAGAGTTCTAAACAAAGAACGTACGTATACAACGGAAAATAGAAAACCAAAGGAACACAGTAGGTGTTATCTTTTGCCAGATGAAAAAGGAGAAGACAGAAAAGTTTGCAAAACTTTTTTTAAGCAATCTTTGTATGTGTCGGATGGCCGCATAACTAGAGTATTGAAATCGAAAAGCACTACTGGAACACCACAGCCTGATAAACGTGGAAAATCCACATCAGTTAATAAAACGTCTCTGGAAAAAGTCACTGCTGTTAAAGATTTTATTAATAAAATACCGGCGTACGAGTCCCATTATTCTTTAAAAAAAAATCCAAATGTCAGATATCTTTCTCCAGAACTAGACCTTGCCAAGATGTAGAATTTGTATAAGAATGAAACTAAACAACCCGTGTTTTTCGTAAAATATTTAAAAACGATTTTAATTTAAAGTTCCACGCACCACTATCCGATAGTTGTCGAAAATGTGATGCATTTGATATTAAAATTAAGGCAGCTATGGCAGATGGCCAGGAATGTACAGCAATTAAAGCGGAACAAGAGCTGCATCAGAGGAAAGTTGAAGCTGCTAGGCAGGGCATGACACACGATGCTGAAACTGCAAAATCAGACACTGATATGTCAGTAATTTCATTTGATTTAATGAAAAGATTGGCAACGCCAATCATTTCAACAGGAGTTGCGTACTATAAAAGGCAACTTTGGACGTTTTGTTTGGGATTCATGATCTCCAAACTGGCAAGGTACACATGTACATGTGGGACGAGAGTATCGCATCACGGGGTCCCCAGGAAATTGGTTCGTGTATTGCACACTACATTAAGAACTTTGTTTTGACAAAAAAGTTAATAATGTACAGCGATCAGTGCGGTGGTCAAAATAGAAATTTTTAAATGGCTGCCCTTTGTACTTACATTACCTTATCCAGCGACTACAAAGTTGACATTATTGACTACAAATTTTTAGTATCTGGTCATTCTTATCTTCCTAACGACCAGGACTTTGGTCTAATTGAAAAAAACAAAAAACATTATAAAAATATTTATGTTCCCAATGATTGGGTGCAAGTGGTTCTTGAAATCAAGAAAAAAAATCCGTTCAGAGTAGTAGTTATGACATCCAGCGACTTTTTCTCAACAAACGAACTAGAAAAAGCATTAACCAATCGTAAAAAAACTGCAGCTGATGAAAAAGTTGAGTGGTTACGAATACAGTGGCTGCGGTATGAGAAAGAAAAACCCGGAATTATCCAATATAAGTATTCCAATAACGAAGTTGTTTTATTTAACGAAGTTAATGTAAAAAAACGGGGCAAGCAAACTTTTCAAGAAATGGCAAAACTTCTTCCTTTATTTGGGGGACCCAAGTCCATATCAGAAAAGAAATACCAAGATTTGTTATCTTTGCTTGACTATATTCCACCAGTAAACCATGAATTTTATCGGAAACTGGTTCACAATGCACGTGTGGAAGAAGACTCGGATGTTTTTGATGATAACAGGGAGGAAGAAAATGAATAAAAGACTTTCAGTTAAGTTTTTGTTTTTTTAATTGTCTTATCATTTACCTCAAAATAAATTATTTCGCTTCAAAATCTCTTTTTATTCCGAAGTCAGTGAAAATCTTATTTATCAAAAAAATGGGTCAAAACACTATGCATAATATCCTAACATTAACCTGACTTTAAATAAATTTAAAAATCCTTAAAAGCACTTCTAATAATAACGTGATTAATATTCAAATATTTTGATAATTTTCTTTTGCTATTTTCTTCATAATAAATATTTTGGGCTTGGGCCACTTTTGCGCTAAACCTCATATATCTTCTCCCATTTCAAGTTTTCTTGTATATGTTACGGTTAAAGTGTTTACTTGGATAGTTTGTAGACTAGTTGGATAGGATACAAACTATCCAAATATCCTGCTATTTTAATGGAAAATTATATTTCTACTAAAATAGCTATGAATATTGGTTGGTTTGTATACTAACCAGCTAGTTTACAAACTATACAACATTTATCGCCAAAGCACAAACCACAAGAAAAGTACACAAACTAACCGGTATTTTTGGCTAGTTTACAAACTATCCAGAATATCTGGATAAAGTGTGAACTTATTATTCGTAGTAATACATAATAACCATTTCGTCGGTTAGTATGTAAACTGACCAATCTGCTTTGGTTAATTTATTAGAAAAGTGAGTTTATAGTTATGGCAAGTGTGTATTATTATTGTTTACTCTTACTGTTGTGTCTTGTAAAATTGGTTTGAGAAGAGGTATCTGATTATTAAAAATGAATCAACAGCATTAATTTGAAAACCTACTTTTGGAAATTTACGAGCAAAAGCAAAATTTAAAATTAATGAATGACAGTGATTCTACCCAGACAGCACACTTCGTCCTATGAACGATCACTTTAGATCCATTTGAGGGCCAGAACATCCATATCCGTATTCAGACATCTAGTGTACGTCTATTTATGATCATTAATTTGATGATACCCAAAGGACGTCTGTTTTTAGACTTAATTTTAAGTTTAGTATTATTTTGACGTCCAGTGGACGTTCATCTTAGGTCATTATTTATTTAGCCTACCAGATAATACCCATCTATATACACTGCCTTTTTTTAAATAGAATTGCTCATTAAAAATTGGTAAATTGAATCTATTATATTTCATTCTATTAGCGGAAGTTTGAAATCTTATTTTATTAATACCGTATGTAGTAAGAATTTTTGCAAGTGGTTCCTTGGTCGAGGGCGCCTAGCGCTTGAAACCCTAGAACGACAATGAACGTGTCGTGAGTTCAATCCCTGCTTAGGTTAAGTGATTTTTAATAATAAAAAAATTAATAAATGGTGTATAGCGGGTTTCGAAAACAATAAATAAATTATTAATAATATAAAATAGTGTGTGGTTGAGTTGCGGTTTATAGAGAATCGAACCATCTTATATAATTTTACTCAAAAAATCTGGAAAGATTATTTTACGTTTGAGAGTGAATGTTATGATGCGATTAAAGCTGCCCACCAGAGAACTGGGCATGGATGTCGTCAAGCAACTACAAAATTACTAAATGAAATGTACTATAACTATAACACAGGAAACGGAAAAATTATTTATTGAAACTTGCAAAACCTGTCAGCTCAAACGGAACAAAACTAAAAAAGGTATTGTGAAACCAATAATTGTATCAAATCATTTAAATAGTCGGTGCCAAATTGATCTTATCGACAAACTAGACCAAATAGTCACTTCAAGTTTATTTTTGCCTATTAAGACCACCTAACCAAATACGTCATGTTGAGAGCGCTGAAAACAAAGAAGGCTAGAGAAGTAGCTGAGCACCTATTAAAAGTATTTGCAGACCTACGAAGTCTGTTGAAGAACGTCAACGGCCGAGAATTTGCAAACGAGGTAGGTATTTTTTCAATATGTAGGTACAGAGTGGCCAAATAACAAATAAAATTTATTCCAAATTCCTAAAATGAAATTATTTAAACAATCAATAATCTGTATTTAAATATAACTCCTATGAATGAAGTACCTAAGGCAAAATCGAATAGGTGGTTCAGTGGTCACTTGCCATGCGGGCGGCCCAATCTCGATTCACAGCCGATCCATTTCTTTTTTTATTTTTTAAGTTTAAATGCCAGTATATTTATTTTTGTTGGAAAAAAATTATTCAATTAAATAGTCGATAAACTAAATTAACCAAAGAGGATTGGTGAGTTTACATACTAACCGACGAGCTGGTTATTATGTATTACTACGGATATTAAGTTCACACTTTATCCAAATACTGTGGATAGTTTGTAAACTAACCAAAAATCGGTTAATTTGTGTATAATTTTCTTGTGGTTTTTACTTTAACTATAAATCATGTATAGTTTGTAAACTAGCTGGATAATATACAAACTAACCAACATTCATAGCTATTTTAGTATAAATATGATTTTCCATCAAAATAGCAGTACATTAGGATAGTTTGCATGCTATCCAGCTAGTCTATAAACTAGCCAAGTAAACACTTTAACCGTAACATATATAACTAAAAACCGGATGTTAGAGAACAAAAACAAGCTTATCACCAAGTTGGAACTTACACTTAGGCTTAATTTCCTAACATTTTTAAAGTATACCTTTTTGTGTACTTTTTTGTGCTCTTTCCTATGCCGAAGTTAGTTTTTTCAAATAAAGTTTTCGGAAAACCCAGAGAAAATCATATGGGAAAAACTAAAAAAAAAACTACGCCTTTCGGTTTCCTGCGAATTCCCAAAAAATTATGGCAGATTTCGTCGCGGGACTTATTTTATTTGAGAGCCAACAAAAAAATACGCAACTTCTTTCATGGGCACATATGTCTAACATTTATAATTTCGCCACAAATTCATTGCAAATTTCATGTCCATGGTTCTGATCAAAGAAACGAAAAAACAACTTTTTGGTAAAAGCACTTCTGGCAGCGAGAAATTCGCCATTAAAACTACCTGTGCAATGAATTTCCGAACTATTTTTGCCTCCTCTTTCAATTGGTGCATTTATTTTTACTATTGGAATGATACTTGCCCAGATAATTAGCATTTTTACCATGAAAAATTCCGGAAAACCCGGTTTTTCCTAATTTAAAAAAAATTAAACGACAGCTACATCTTTTTTTGCTTTTTTTTGGACAGATCACATCAAAATACATAAGGTCTACTTTGTTTCATCCAATTACAAATTAATGTAAGCTCGAAAGGGCTTTTTTTCGTTATTTAATTGGACTATTATTAGAACCCAACCGTAAATTGTCAAGTAGGGAATAATGTATAATATTAGAAAACATCACATAGTCTTGGTAGGAATAGAATCCGGTATCCTTGTTTATTATTGTTAAAAGTAGCTAATTAGAATAACGTATTTTACTCTAAACAACTCAATGCTATTTTGGTGTTTGTCTTCCTTACGTCCACCATTTTAAATATCAAAAATCACGATTAAAAAAAGCCAAGCACTATAATTTCAAATTTGCTCTCGTTCAAAACCTGTAGAGATTACTGGTTTATAATAAAGTAGCGGTAATGTTTTAATTAAACGGTGATTTTTAAAAAGTTGGTGTGATCCCTGCGGTAAAATTGTAACGAGAAACTCTGTATTAAACTTAAAACTTAGTACCTGATTAATGATTATATGAAAAGTTTCAGTCTTTCCTGTTTTAATTTAACATGAAAATGTTAAGTTTGAGAAATACTGGAATGCTGTTTAGTATATTATTGTTTAATATATGTATAAAAATAAGAAAATATGACCCTTTTACAAGTTGTAAAAATTAACATTAAACTTATTAATAATATCACTTCGACCTAATGAAATAGACAACTTTTTGTTTCAATATCTAATAGTTTTTAAATTCGAGGATTTCCCATCTTTTTTCTTAAATGTCTCTCTAGAGGGTGGCCTTATCGTTACACAAATTTAAAGCTCTGAATATTCACGAGACACATAACATCGCGAAGTATTCCCAGTGGTGCCCATATAAATACATTTTTTTATTAGAAAATCTTCAGAACATTTTTGGTGTAGCGAGAAGTCCGGGGGGTTATTCTCTAACTCTCAGCCGAAAACGCACATCAACGAAAGCTCCAAGCGGATTTCCCAACAAAGTTCGATCACCGAAACGAAAAGCTTGCGATTATGGTTTTCTCTAATGCTATTAGGCATTCCAAACAAAATGGCTTCCCCTTTGAAATGACAGGCCACTGACAGGTTATAATATGGCAACCAGTGGCGGCTGGGGTAATTTAAAAAGGGTGTTCACTTTTTTCCAATAATTTTATCGTTTGTAAGTTCGGTTCAAAACTTTATACAAGCGCCAATATAGCTTTTTTTTTTATTTGGGTTTGTATTAAGTGTAGTTATTATTATCAATATCATACTGTTTGCAAGCACTAGTTATTGTAATATTTGTTTTGATTTCATTTATAAACATTATTAGTTATAGTCAGCTGACTTTTCTTCTTATCTTAAGATTATTTTTAAATATTTATCAGGTTATGTACAAAGCTTGACACTGATTTTTGTGTAAAAAATATATGAAATTTTACCTACCGTTTTTCGGTTTTTATCGTAAATCATTTTCACAATTTGTCACACATGTCAAATAAAATAATATATTTTTTAAATACTTTTTATTGGAAAATAAACCAAGTGAACAAAAATGTTTATTTTATAAGATCAGTCCGATTTTATTGTTATTAATTTTTTTTTCTTTTCAGGTAAGTTAGCCTTCGATATTAAACGGCGAAATATGTAAGTTTTTTTATTGAAAATATACATCGTTTTTAACGGAGTTTTTATTATAGTAGTAATAGTAATAGTAATTTTTATTTACCATAAAAAATACAATATTTAAAATACATAGGTATACATTAATTAATAATTTGTTTTGTTGGTAAATAAACATGAAACCCCACAAAAGGAAAATCCTGAGCGTGGGTGAGAAATTTCATTTTTTATTCCATGCTTCAACAATAATA